ATAAATAAATAATTAAAAAAAAAAGTATTTCAGTCAGAGATTATTGTCATATGCACATCATGTGGTACATGTGGTGGAGCAAAATTATGTACACAGGGTCCCAGTTACATCCAACAATAAAATGTATAAGAAAAACAGTAATAACATCTAAGATATGAACTAAGAAAAACATCAACTAAATATACACTAAGCTCTAATAGCATTAAAACATTACGTCAAACATCAGCACGAACATGAGCATGAGTCTGTGTGAGCAGATGTGCACGCATGAACACCTCAACATGAAACAGATCAACAGCAACATGAAACAGATCATCAGCAACAGGATGTGATTTTTCACAGTGATTATTCTGGTTAGAGATTCATGAGTCTAATTGTTTGTGATGCACCCACCACCGCTGTATCATCTGCAAACTTTACACTTTAACTTTTCTACGGTAAAGAATTGTTTTGTCTAGTAAAATAAAAGCAAGATTCAGAATTGTTTGCATTGCAGTTTGTTTGTTCTGAAATCGTGCGAGAAGTTATCTTTCATTTCCATAAGGTGTCCAGCAGAGTGCATCAGCACACTGCAGAAGTATCTACCATGACTGCTGTTTGGGTCTTTGTCATGGTGTAACAGTATTTAACAGTGTACAGAAGAAGTTTACATTTTGTAGCAATTGCTTCAATTATAATTTGTGGAGCATAAAACAAAACAAAACAAAAAACATGATTACAGATAAAGGTCAGAGAGTACAAAGCTCAGTTTATACAATAGTACCGGTAGGTAAGTAATAAATTTTGTCTAGTCTTCAGATGGCTGCATGGAACGAAATTTTGCTGTACTTAACTGTGCAATGACAATAAAGTTGATCCTGATTCTGATAAGTAAATGAATAAGTCTGCATTGTATTTTTTCAAAAAGTGAGAAAAATCTAATTCATGATAGAAGGAAAATTATCCAAACAGTGCAGCAGGAGCTGTGGAGTTTTCACTTATTGCTGTCCTTCTATCCCCCATGGTATGTGAAAGTTTGTATTTGAAAAATAAGGGCATGAAAAGAACAGTTTTTACCTAATGTTTAGTTTGTTAGCTTTTCCTTAAATTTCAAAGTGCAGTTCCTGGTATCCATCAGCCAATAGGTTGAACACCCTGAGACGTATCTAAAAAAGGCCCAGTATTAAATATTGATGTAGGGAAACAGATTTACACTTGGTGCTTCTAATCTGATGATCTCTTTGAAGTTATTTCCTCCCAAGCTCACCCAAAGACACAGAAGTTGTTTAGAACTGCCGCTTGTGTGTGAATATATGAGTGAAGATAAAAAGGGGTCTACTCCACCTCTCCAGGGAGAAGGCATCCTGCTGAGGGAGATATACTGATGTCTGAATCCTCTGGTGGGGTAAAGCAGAACAACCTGGGAACCTCAACCGTCCTGATGTCTTTGGCCACTGGAGTTACTGTTTGTTTGAACTGGTTATTGTCAGCGTGGTGGCTAATCAGGTGAAAAACAGCCGTGGACTTGTCACCAACGGCAGTGGCTCTAAACTGAACCAGAGAAGGAGAGAGCTCCAGCGGTGGGTGAACTCCTACAGCTCGGCAGGACAGTAGAAACTCTCTGGTGTTTAAAAAGAAGGTTTTAGTTGGTAATCAAGTCTAATCATTCTGGAAATCATCACATGACATCCATGCACACTCAGTAAAGAATGAAAGTCAACCTGTTAATTCCAGATTTGCAGCAGAGTTGAAAATTATACTCCTGGGCTTTTTTGGGACTGAAGATCAAATTAATCTCCAGGGTTTCTTGTGGGAGCACAGTACCAAAACCATCGTTAGGCTGGATCTCAATGAACTGTAAACACACACAGAGCATTCTAAAAAACCCAATAAACAGATTTTGTTAATCTTATGATGTGTATTTTTATGCATCCATTAAACTTTTGAGCCATAATGCTAATAATATTTTACATTTTGCAGGTGGAAGTGGTGGTAAATTCCACCATTACCAGAAAGAATACAAACTGTCTGCAAGCGCAAATGATAAATAAGTGCAGTTATTATAATTAAGTTACCTCTTTAGTTACCATTTACTCATTCTCAGTCTTTACAATGTAAAGGATGAGCTATTACACTAATAAACTTATGAAGGAGAAGAACAGCTCAGTTTTTTAAAGGCAAACATACAAAATAAAGAGTTTATAATTAATCTGACATCAATAACAGAATAAAAGTATTGCTCATAATATCCTAGGATTAGGATTTAACGAAGTACCTCTGGAACAGATAAAAAGCCAAAGTCTTGAGGTAGGAGGGAAAGGTTAGTGAAGCGCACGTTGCTCCTGACGGACTGATAGATGGAGCAGAAGCCAAAGTCAATCTCAGTCCGGTCAAACTGCAGGTCTGACGATGTCACAATTGCCTGGACAGTAAATCGGGCAGGATGAAGCTAAAAGTGGATAAAAAAAAATTACATTTTTGTAAACATCCGACCAGTTCTTAATGGATCGCTTTAATAAACAAGAACAAAGATGACTTTCTTTTACATCTTTGGTCTTTATTTTTCAGTTAAAGGTAGATCACTACTTTTTGCTTAGATTTTCCTAAATTAAATTGTACCTTCATAATTTTATTACATTTTATGATCATTGTTGAACTTTTCAGTTTTTATTTTATTTTATCTTATTTCACAGACATAAATATTTACAGTATGAACAGTTTTTTTTAAGCAACATTACGTTTGACTTCAGTTTTTCAATATGAAACTGAGTAATGTGTTTATGCAGATCTCTATTCTTCATAACTGGGCGACCACAAGTTGTTTGTTTTTGTGCAATCAAACATGCGACTGTGGTTCAAAGTGATTTGTAGAAAATGAAATACCAGCACCAACCTACAGGGACATCTCCTTTCTTTCCTTGGCAAGTCTTCCTCAATACTTTACTGATTTTATCAAATAAAAAAAATAAAAACCAACAAATGTTCATATCTGAACCCTCTGATGCAACACGCAGTCTGTATAACTCAGCTCCAACCCAACAGGGGTCTTCTCAAAAATATTCACTTCAAAAATACTAATAAGTTATTGAAGCGGGAGAGAAAAATGTCCATCTGCTGGAGACTATTTTAGGCAGAAGCTTATTACAAATTTTAAGCTCTGGTGAATATTCGGGGCAGCAGGATAAGGTGTCCAAAATAAACTAGTCTCAGCATGTTTGTGGTAATGAATCAGCCTCCTGTCACCTGCTGGAAAAATGGGACTCAACGTGTTTGTAATTTTTTTAAAATTATTATTACCCAAGCTTGAAAGCATAGAAGGAATTTACAGTTTGGTTTAGTTCAATAAAGTTAAAGCATTCATTTCGTTGAAGAATGAAAAAGCTGAACATTTGTAAATCTGTGGGCTGCATAGCAAGTTAGTCTATTTATTTTTTTTTTAAAATGTCTTGGACTTAAGATGACGTCTTCTTGAGTTAGCTCTGTGTCACTATGCGCCATTGCTTTCTTGGCTGCTGCGACGTCCGTTGACCAAACTGTGTGTGTGTGTGTGAGAGAGAGTGGTTTCTTTTTTCTTATCTTTTGCCAAGAGCTTAGGACCTGGGGCTGGAAACAACAGCTTTGGCTTTTCACAGGAACATCTTGGCTTAGTTTTTGGCTCTTTGTCAAGGCCACAAAGAGTTAAATATTTCTAATCCTACGAGACATGAACTCAGAACACTGGAGGGTAAGAGGATGGTGACAGTTTGGCAAAAATGACAACTTCAGATTTAAAAAGGACCAAAATGAGCTGGCAAAAGTGCAGCTCAAATGTCTCAACGGCTGCACAAATTTATAAGAATAAAGACAACCGTTTCAGTATTTCAAAATTTATGAATATATTTAGATTGAAATTTTTACCTTAATTGCAAATAGTGTACCTGTAAAAGTTTGGTCACTGATGTTAATGAGGAGATAGTGAGTGGCTAAGTAGGCTGAAGGGTCCAGCTGACCTACAGTGAGAAGATCTGATAGCTCTGCAGTGAACTGTTACAGTTTGGATCCACCTGTATCTTTAGGAAGAAGGGTCACTGCAAATTGATACAGTTTGTCAAAGCAATCACATTATCCTAATAAAACACTTTGTTCCAAGTGGCTTCATCCAAATGGCAGCGATGTCTGAACAAAATTAACCCAAGTGAGCAGCAAAACAAGGGGGCGTGGCCCAACACCTGTCAATCACCTAACACCATAAACACAAATTAAATCTTATGCTGTTGTGTTCAGGCTGTAAAAAATAGCCCATTTAGAAGAATGGCGCTGATGCTGTTCTAGATTTAACATAAATGTTCATCTGTTTAAATAATGTAACAGTAATTTTATTATCTTTATTGTAAACGTTAAGGGGGTCTTAACATTTGTAGATGTCTATATTTATAATCATAAAGTACAGCTATAATCACAATTTCTATTTGTCAAGCTTAGGCTAACATTATTATGGTGAAACAAACAAAATGCTTTGATTTTTATTTGATTGAGTTCTTCTTAATATTTATGATGATTGTGTCTTACAATTATTACATTTTTTAAAGGAATGTGTAATGACAAACTGACAAGGCCGCACAGAAACAAAAGGAAAAACAACATGACATCATCAACTGATTGCAAAAAAAAAAAGTCTATACAGTTGTGTATTTATTTTTGTGCTAATGAGAACATTTTGAGTCAAACAACATGGGGTAACCTTTATGCTTGGTTTATTAGCAACCGTGGAGTAACTGAGCCTTGAGGGTGGAAGATAATTTTAGCTTGTTACCAGCAAAATAGGTTACAACCTTCAGTGGCTCCACCTCCGTTTGTGACAAAGTAGGACTCAAGCACAATGCTGCACAGCGAGCATACTGTCTGCAAGACTACTGCAGCGTGTACTTATAAAACAAATGCAGCTTGTGGGCACTGCATAAAATATAAAATATAGTACAAACCTGGCCTGCAACTTGCACGGTCATTGGAACCTCAAGGACTCCTGTATCTTTGTCAAAATAATTCTCTGCATCTTTGAATAGGGAACACCTATGATAAAAAAAAGGATATATTTGAAATGCAAAGCAGTGCTTTCTTAAAAAAACAAAGTATCTTCATAACTGCAAGCAGAGGACAGGACCCCCCCCCCCCCCCTCCCACCAATTATGACTTTTAACAAACAATAAATACAACAATGCTTTCAACAAGTTGATTTTTTATCCATAGATGCCAAATAGCATTGAAATGCTGTAAGCCCCTCCCGGGAATTTTGAGAGAAAGATAAAGACTCAGACCAAGACCCATTACTTTACTTTAACCCACGGCTGTAGGATCGGCTTGCCAGAAAAAGCAGGAGAAAGATGAAGAGTGCGCCTCCACACTACTGTAGGTTGTAGCCATGGTGATGAGAGACGTAAGCATGATTCAAAGAGGACCAGCAGTCATGCACAAGCTTATGTAAAACTCCAGTCCCTCAGTCTCACCAAGAGTTGAAAACACCACTGCATATACATGCATATGCATGATTCAGTATCTTATGGTCAAACGATAAATGAAACTTATTTACCTTTTCTTAAATTTCCCTCCCTTTTAGTTCCTGTTTTCCTCTGCGTTTCATTTATCTCACTTTTTTAATGGTTTAAGTCTTGACAGCTAATGCTGTTAAAGTTGGTGGTTTAAAGGCTTTTCACACATCAGAGGGTTTTTTCTCTTTAAAAGCATAACAACTAAGGCTAAACTTGGCACAGGTTTATGTTTCATAATTCTAAAAACCTCACCACTAGACCTCAACATTGCTACAGAGCTGAAAACAAGAGAGGTTACTAATCAAAATTAAATCTCTCAAAGTCATCTTTTCTTTTTTCATAGCTTAACAAATGAGTACAGAGGGTATATTTAAAGAAGCACTCTTTTATTGTCTACTAATAGAATCGCTGCTGGAGAGTCACTCTTGAATTAGCTTGGCAGGGCAGTGTGGAAAAGCCTGGTGGGGCGTCGCCAGACCCATATGTTCAGGAGAATTTGCAGAAGGATGGCGCTTCAGATTTGTCAGTGTCCTGAACAGATTTACTTGTACTCTTCCTCTCGATAGCCAGATTATCCACAGTAATTCTCCTTTTTAGTCTTAAATGGTACATCCTAGATTAGTGTAAGATAGAAGATGATGCTTAAACTTTGAATATATGCTTTATACTTTTAAAAGTACTTCATTTAAAAAACTTAAATAACTGAGCTAAATTTAACATGTCTTTTTTTAAGATCCTCCATGAAACCTTAATCGATATGAGAGATTTGTGACCATTTTATAATCCATTATAATCTAAAAAAAAGAGAGCATTGTTTTACAACAGTGCATGACTGAACAAAAACAGTTTTTTTTCAACATACATAAATTGCCCTTGAATGTGGAGTCTTGCTTGAATACTTCATCATTAAAATAAGTGATTTTGAAAAGGATTATGGATTAGGAAGCTTTGAGGGGTTTTGACTATAGGATCATAAGAGTAAAAATGACAGTAAAAGACAATGATGAGAATCTTAAAAATCATGGTAACCAAACCAGTTACTATATTTGCTTGATTAGTTTTCACGCAACACACCGTCCCATTAGAGTTCCTGGTACCGACATGAGCAAAAGGCTAGCAGTAAAAAGCACTGGTAGAGCTGTTCGGCGTAATCTGTAGTAAATCATCCTTGTAATCTCCCTTTTATCAGCCGGAACTGCTGGGGTGGGACCCATTGCCTGCTCTTTCGAGATTAAACCCCTCTGACAAGCAATCCCATTCAAATGATCCTGTCATGAGGTTACATGGAAAAAAAATAAGGAAACAAATGTATTTTTGTGTGTTAGATTAGGTAAATGGTGACGGTTTGGAAATAAAGCACAAAAGATAATAGTTTTGAAATATTGCTTGGTATTTTTGCCTTACTTGGAAAAGAGAATCCTTAAAGGAGGGCTGGAACATAGTTCCATGATTAGGTAATTTTTCAAATAACCATTAAAACGTACAAAAGGACAACGCTACCCCAGTAAAAACAAACAAAAACCATAGAGAACACCAACTATTAAAAGCTGTTGTTAGCCAACAAACCAAAATAATAAATTCTGTACTAAATTTGAGTGAAGCTGTAAAATATCTTGACTTTATAACATACCGATGCATGCTTAATAATTCAGGTAGATAAATCTAACAAAGTTATCCCACACAAGACAGGCCCTGGAGCAATGTGGATATCCTAACTGGGTCTTCCTGAAAGCAGAGGAGAAACTCAAACAGGACTCCAGCCAGCCATCAGATGAAAAGGAGGAACCCAGACCAATGGTAAATGTTGCAGGAGTTTCAGAGAAACTGAGATGTTTATTTTCTAAACATGACGTTCCAGTGGCTTTTAAACCCCAAAATACATTATGGCAAAGACTGGTTCATCCCACAGATCTATTCCCCCTGGCACAAACAGAGTAATATTTTGTATGTTGTTCAGTGCCAGGAGGCTGTGTTCAGTCTTACATAAACTAACTAAACAGCCACTGGTCAAAAGGATGGACCAGCACAAAAGAGCAACATCATCAGGCCAGGACTCTGCGGTCTACACTCATCTCCAGGCCAACCGTCACTTTTTCAGGGATGAAGACGTGCACGATACAGCCTTGATAGAGAGGAACGTTGGTTTGAGAGAGGAGTGAAGGAAGCCATCTTTCGGAAGAGAAACCATCCATCATTAAACGGGTGGAGGTCTCCATGTTCAACTGTCCCCCTTTTACAATACAATACAACTTTATTTATAAAGCACATTAAAAACAATACCATTGGCCAAAGTGCTGTACACTAACAAAAACAATTACAATGCTGTTATTGCATCACTCAGCCCTCTGTGAATAGCAAGCGGACATCTTAACCAAGCGGCCATCCTAACAATCGATTGTTGGGCTGATGGTCCTCCTTTTACATGTGAACAACCAGTTCTGGCTGTCACCAGCCAACTGGTTGATCCACTATGAGAAGATGCTGTTTATATGGTTGTTTTCACACCCGATAGTCCGGTAGACTCGGTTCGATTGGGGATCAAAATTCAAAACATTTGTTTACATTTCAGCTGGTTTGGTTTGCATTCACACTGCACGGAGTCAATCGAGTCAACCTGTTCCCCCCTCACCTGTGGTGGCGCTGCACCAAGAACTACTGAAGGAACCGACACAAAAACCTCTGAAGAAGACACTTCTTCTACTTCTTATGTAAATAATAATAATAAAAAAAAAAACAAAGTGGCGTCAAATTTGAGCGGTTTTAGGATTTCTGTTTTGTTATTTTTCCACAATGGACTCAGTATGAGTGGAAGATGAAGCAGAAGACCATGGAGAATGCTGTTTTTCACACAAGGCGGCTGAGACGGCTCCGTATGAGGTAAGAGAAATGCACGTTTGTTTACCCTGCGCTGTAGTCCACTTCCTGCTTTTGAAGCGGTCTCCGGTTTGCTTGCATTCACACTGTATTCAAACCGCGCCAGAGTTCACTTCAACCAAATCAAGACCTAGGTTTTTAGGCAGACCAGAGTTCGCTCTTTTGGTCCACATCAGAGTCCCACTCACATTCACACCTCCCCAAACGAACTGGACTTCCTAGACAAACGGACTAGAGTTCGATTAAAGTGGACTAAACAGGGCTGGCGTGAATGCCCCCTAAGACTGAGTTTGTTGCAGCTCCTTAGACTGAAGAAGTCTTTCAACAAAGAAGAATTCGTCCAGAGGACCTGACTCAATCTTGTTAGAACTTCAACATATTACTACCACAACTGAAAAGACAAATTAATTAGCAAACAAAATAACTCTCCTAAACTTAAATCTGCATAAAAGTAATATCATGCTAAGAGTATGGTGTGAAAGAAAACTATTTAAAGTGACCATAGCCATCCTTCTTTCAAATAAGTGGTCCTCTAAGCAGAATAGGAAAACCAACATGTGTGCCACTGCTCTTTGAGATAGTGTGGAGACAAAATTTTGTAGTGTACAGAACAACGCTACGGATGTGTGAGAAAAGTGTGGGCTGGATAGTGACAAATAAAGGTGGAGGAAGACAAGCAGAGAGGGATGAAGCAAAAGAGAAAGCAAATGAAAGATGTGGGCAGGCTGAGCGCAAACCTTCAAAGGAGGAAGCGAGAATGTGCTCACCCTCTCCTGAAAGCCTGAGGAGGGCAGAGAAGACACAAACACCTGTGTAAAGAATGAACGCTATGATATGAGTCATTTCAGAATCCAGATTTAATAGCATATGTTTGCGTGTGTGGATGTGACAGTGAGTCGAAGCAGTGAAGATAATGAGGATTTGGAAATCCAATCTAGATCCGGCCAGGAGAACTGGCAGTGCCATTTTAATGACACACACAGCCTCTGCATAAAAACAGAAGAAGCAAAAACCAGCAGATTGGAAAAGAAAGACCTAACCACGATAAATAAACACACAGAACGCAGCTTCCTGATGAGCTGAAAATATTCCTCATTTTAAGTGTGAACAGTGTCAACTTCTCTTGTAGATGATCTTTAGGCTCTTAAGAATATTTATATTCTTTATAAGCCTGACTTAACGTAACCCCTCGCTGTTTTTTCTCAGTATTAAAATTACTATTAAATCACAGACTGTAGCTTTCATTGTTCTGAACAATAAATCCCTGACTATCTCTCAACTGATTAAGAGCCTAGGTGCCCTCATGTATGAGACACTCATATGTTGTGTGGAGGTTAAAAACACAGAAGGCCATTTAATATAACTTACAGTCAGTACTCTTAAAATCTATGGCGCAGAGGTTAAGAGAAAAAAAATCAACAATTTAGGTTATCAGGTTATTGAAAGAGGAAATTCTTTGGTCAGAGATGCTTTTGTAATATATAAATTAGATGAATGCAATGCTATCTTAAATTACAAAACTAATGATTACAACAGAGCAAGAGTGGACATTGAGGGCGCAGGGATCTGGGTCTGGTGTCTTAGGTTATATAAGCTGATTCGCAACCAGCATAAAAACAATGGTAGACGATGGATTCAAAGAGAAGGAAGAACCTTAATAATGATAAACAAGGAGTTAAAGGAAAAAAAAACCATACAAAGAGAAACTCAGAGGAGAAAGAAGTATAGAATACAGAGGTGAGAGGTCAGTAAAAGAAAAATGTGAGAGAAAGTGGGAGAAGACAACACAGAAGCCAAAGAGACCCAGAGAAAAAAAGTGTGACAGAGAGGAAGGAGGAGGGGGTGGAAGCTGTAGTCATGGTGGTGCTTGTGAACGATGCAGCATCTCAGCAGCAGCACGAGTAAAGCTCTACTCTAATCCTCGCATTAAAACCTCTGGTGATTCACTATGACAGATTACTGACATTTTCCCACTTCCCTCTCTGGTCCCCGTACTGCACGATGACTAGTGTGTGCGCTCAACATTTTCATTATTATGTAAAGAAAATGCACTTCTCTCTTTCTATTTTTTTAAAATAAATCAGCTCAGCTATCAATGCACAAAACTGTCGAACTGAAATGAGAAAAAACAAAACAAAAACAACAACAGAGAGTGGGCAGAGAAGCTCCCACGCAGAGGTTTTACATACTGCACGCCTCTCACATTCACCCTGGGTGTCCCCTGTCCGCTCTTCTGGCTTTCAAACAGCAGTTCAACTCCTGCAGCTTAATCTAAATATAGAGCCTGTAATGTTGTTGAAAGAATTACCAGGCCCTTCAAAGTCATTAGACACCATTACCAGACGCCTCTGAGCTCCTGTGCTCACAGAGCTGGTGTGATAAAGAAACTTGGATACTGGCTGTTGACTGGATGGAAACATTTGCCTTTTACAACTCTATGACTATTCTGACTCCTCTCAAAAAGCAATTATTGTTTCACCAGAGCTACACAAGTAAACCACTGTAGTCAGAACAAACTCAATACACAAATGCTCGTATAAACCTATATTTGCATTGTTGGCCATCTTTTATTTCTTATCAAATCAGCCTGGAGTTACAGAAATGACAAAAAGTTATTGAGTTGCCAGATCATGCACTTTATTAAAGACTACAATTTGGAGGGTTAACTTTTGTTTTTATCGGAACAGCATCTACTTAGACGGCTGCTTTTTCTTCAGTAAAATGAAATGTATCTTTGTGGAAAAGGCAGGGCATTAAACAAGACAAGTTCAGTACGAATCTGCTTGGAAGTTAAATAATTTGCACTTTTTAAAAAAGTCGACAAAACCCTCAGAAGCTCAGTTTCCAACTAGATTATCACTGCTTCACTGATGACATTACCACTGCAGCCTGTGTCCTTCCTTACCTTGGCATGAATTTCAAAAGAGTGTTAAATCTTGACTGAGCCTGGACGAAGCCCATCTTTGGTAGAATCTCCACATGTTTCCTCATTTCTGGGCATACGTCGAAGATCAGTTTCAATGCAGTGCTTGCTCTGTAATGAAAGTACAGCTTCATTAGTACAATGTTTTTTTATTGGGCTTTGGGTGTTTTTTCCATTTACTTCAGTTTATTAATGAACATCTATTAAAATATGCTTATTTTTTGTCGTTTTCTTTCCAACACTGATCTATGAATCACTCAGGCATGAAATACTTTATAGTTAAAGTGTCATGTTGCTCAGAAACTAAAAACAGTTAAGTTTTTCTTTAATGACACCTACCAAAATCACCTTTTTATGGATAAGTTCAGATCATTTAGGCGATCTTATTTCTACGAGCTCTAATGATTGTACCAGTGGCTGTAAACTCGTTTTAAAATAAGCTTGTGTTAAAAACGGCTTTTCATTCTGGGAATTCTCCAACACATCCAAGTTACACCTTTACAAACGGAGAAACAAGCTGAAAGGTAGTGCTTACTGAAAGTGAGATAAGTGTGATAACGTTTTTGTGTTTGCTATTATCTCCAATGACACAGACGCGCCATGAGCAAGCAACAGTCAAATATACAGTGGGAGCCTTCAGACCTCAATTTAAATGACCCACTTAAATAGTCGGGCCAACCAGATGGCGGTTTCCCTGAGGCAAGGACAAGCAGGGGCACACGGGACAAATTAAGTCACTTTCTTTACCCTTACTAAACGATAACCTTCAAACAGTTCTCAGGAGGGATATTTATGGATGCATAATCATTTTGGATAATCATAAATTTTAATTTACAGGGGCATTGAGATAATTTGCCCATTTTAATGGCAGGCTTTGATTGTTTTTGTCTTGAAAAATAATCATGTAAGAGATATAGTTGCAGATTTCCTATAAACTGCTTCCTTTGGATAAAAGTACATTAAAGATATTGAGCTAATTGTTGTAGATAAATATATATTAAAACATATGCTGACTTTTAAAGTACAGTAGATAATATTCTAACAAACTTACCCAGGAAAGACTTTATATTATGTTATGGGCCACAACTATGCACCCGTCAGAGGCTGCTTGAAAGCCCCAAAACTCATCTTCAATTAAAACTATTTTAATGCTACAGATCAATACACCATTTTAGACAAAAGTCTCTTCAAATATGTTTCAAAAGCTTTAAAAAGTTTTTTTTTTCCAACATGACAATGCCCTGAGAAAAAGTCACGGTCAAGCAAAAAATGATTGCATTTTGGTGCATTTGATCTCTTTGACTTTACTGTACATCACTGAGCAGCCACAGTAATGTTCTTGAGTGCTTTGAGCAAACTTTAAGCTGTCAGAAAAAAATGAAAACCAAACAAAACCTCCTCCAAGAGGAGCGGAGCAACATTTTATATGCATCTGTTTTTCTCTTCAATAGTACTCTACGTCTCCTGTTCTTAAAAACATCACAAACTATGTGTAATAATTAATTTTCACAACATTTTTGGATATTTTATTAGGACGTAGTTTAGTCAGTTAGCTTTCTGACAACCCGCCCAACAATTATCTACATTTTTAACATGTAAAGTAAAAGATAAAATGCTATGCAAGTAAGGGTTCATCTTTTCTTTTAAATTCACACATAACGCACGCAGCAATAGTTTTAATTTTCTTACATTTTCAGCCAGTTAGAATACTGTGACAAAAATGTTGGGCCAAAACAGCCTTTTACAATGTAATACAAATGTAGGTTAGGTAATTTATTTATTTACTTTTATTTAAACAGATAATCTCTGGATCACAAAAAGTCTCAAAGAAAATCCCACTGAATTTCTCTGGGAGCAGAAATAGATTTTAACATTTATACATTTTGCCACAATGATTATATAATATTTAAAATCACAAATTTTATCAACAGATAGCTTTCTAATGCAGTCGAATTAGCGTGTGGCCACAGCTACAGCAGAGCCCCTGTGTTTTCTTGAAGAGGCCAAATTTATTAGCTTATTTACCCTACCTGCACTCCAATGCCACATGGGAAGCCAAGCCTTAAATGAAGAAATACTCAGAACAACCAACTGACATCACAATGCAGCACTGTCCACTTAATGCATCCTTCAAAACAATAAACGTTAGCAGAAGTGTTTATGTTTTCATAAGTAAAAAACTGTAGAATCAACATGAACAACCCATCCCATTTCTCAGAGAAAACAAAAAGCCTCAAACCGCCCTTAGATGAGGTACAGCTGGCACATTCAAAATATGGTGATCGTATCAAACCAAGAACAGAAGTGTTTCTGAAAATAAAAACCCAGATTGGTTGTGTTTTTGTGGCCTGAGTTTGGGAAAGAATAACGTTAAACCTTCGAACTGAAGCCAGTTGGGACTTCAAAGTCTAGATGACTGTTTCAAATAGGAAAATAAAAACTCTGCCAACTGTGTTCGGAGTATTCAAACTATTGGCACACAAGTAAAAGTTAAAAACCGCTTATCTTAAAGCCTCTTGAAAATACTTCCAATTAGTTGGAGTGATATTTAAATCCCTGGCCCACAGGCAAGATAGACACATTCAATCATGCTTTGTGCTCCTCTTAACAAATCTGTCACAAACTAAAGAGCAATGTGGGATATCTATCTATTCAAAGAAAAAAAAAGTGACAGATTAAGTGATGAAAGCAGCAGCTCCCTTATTGTTCCCCTCAAAAACCTGCCAAGTTATTTTGTATTCAGATTATTGTCTTGGCGGCAGAGTGACAAATTGCATAGTTTGCTGGTCGAAGCGTTAGCATTTCTTCACTGACACAGTCATCATCATGTTGTCACATGTGCTGGTGTGTCAGCGCACCAGATGGCAGTTGTCACAAATCCCCTACCCCCCACACACGCCCTCCCCCACTTGATATGACACAATGACTGCCTAGGTGATGGACCACACTTCTGCAAATGTCCTCCATGGCGTATTGTTAACCATTGGTGTGCATCATAATGCATCACATTCACATTGGAAAAGGGTTAACTTTAGTTCTATGCTGCTGTAGAACTTCAGTGTTGGACTACTGCTGCGTCCCTTTCATCATCATCCGTTTCTAAACATGTATCTGCTGCATCTCTATTTTTATTTCTTCTGCACATTTGTTTAATATGCCCCTGTGCTCCTTGGCTCCAAGGATGGATCCTCCAAGGAGGATTTAATGTTGGATTGAAATGGAAGAACTCTGTCAATTTTAAGGGATTTCCACAAGCTGTTATCCAGAGAAAATGACTGTTCTTGTAGAAAATGAGTATGTGAAGGAGTTTTAGCAGAAAAGTCATCAAGCTACTGTACATCAGCAGTGCATGTCTTCAGTGTGACAACAATTTCTTCAGTAAACTCATTAGGCTAAAAATAGTCAAAGGCTCTTTTAACATTAGGCTGTAATTCTCTTTTCTGAAAAGATGCAGAACAAATGAACTATTAATGCTGATATATTACAGTAAAGTGTTCACTGCTTTTGTTGTTTCCAGTCTTTGGCTCATCTTTGAATTTATTTTATAACTCAATGAAGCATCTTTTCACCTTCTTTTTTTAATTTACCTGATATTAGTTTAAAAATAATAAAACAATATTACTTAAATTTTATCAGGAATTTGCAAAGTTGTTGCCTTTTCTAGGTTTTGGGACCCACCTGCTTTGGACCATGATACTGTCTTGATAAAGGTGGTCAAACATGCATATTTTCAAGTCAACGTTGGGCTGAACCACCCATACAGGGATGCTGACGGCCACACCCCTCACCAGAACAGGTATCTGTTTGAATCAGTAAAAACAGTAGACTAAACATAACTCTAGCAGTTAAAAACATGATTTTTTCAACAGAAAAAGACCAACTTTGAACAATATTACAAAAATATCGTACTGTTTTGACGTCCTTTTCAGAGAATTTGATGAAAAAGTCCAGTTTGGTCTCTCCTGGAATGGTGGGAGTGAAAACAAGATCCAGTTTGATGCTTTGAAATGGTCCAATCTCTCCGTCTCTTACCTGAGCAGAAATACATTAAACATGACAGGAACACATTTGATCCTAAAATAAATTTCTGCATGTCTAAAAGATATGATCAAATTTGCCATTAAAAATCAGTAAAAACTTTTTAAAAGTAAAAACATGTTTTAATTCAGCTGCTATTTTGTTAACAGGGGAAGTTTTAGTTTTTCAAACTTAGACTGGCTTCATGTGTTGCATGTTCGTTGCATTTGTGGACTGCTCTGGTTTGATTTCATCTCCTGTGTTACCAGATTAGAGAATAAACAGCAGACAAGAACAAGTCGCACGTATCTCATCTGCTCTTTGAGCCAGAAGCTATATCAAGTTTCATCATGATGCTTATTTTCATGTGTAAAGGAACCATAAAATAAGTTGTTCTCAGCTAAATGCACACCTAAAGCATTCATTAATTATCATTTTAGTTTATATTAGCACCAACATCACTTGCACTGTAGATCAAATAAAATCACAGATACTGTAGATAAAATGAAATCACTGCAGTAGAGGATGCAACATTATACTACCTGCAAAAGAACAGTGTGAGCATCTTCAAAAATCATCAATGAGTTGAAAGGAATAATAAAAACAAACAAAAACAACAATAATAAGCCAGTTTCTAGATGATGCACCAACACAATGTTGTGTGACCCTCCCTGGCCTAGTTTGATAAATAATCTGCCTTTTAGGACACCACTTTTCAACAACTTGGTGTGCACTTATCAGTCAAAATGATAATATCAAAGCCAAGGGCATAAAGATGAATGCAACACACTGAGCGCAAGCACAGAGGAAATGGAGATGCATCATTAGACCCCTGCTAGAAAGATGTAATGAACCCTGACCAACTTCAGACTCACATGAGGCACAAACAGCATCATTGCTAAAAACAAAACAGAATCAAAGCCTTCTACAGACAGACAGTAGCCAAAAAATGCCATGAATACACCTAGATAAACTATAGGACAGATCACTCTGGGCCATTTAGATTGCTATAATTGTATTTTTTTTATAAACATAGTTAGAACAACAATTCTTGAAGGAAGGTTAAATCTTTCAGTTTCTTCATTGCTTCCTCTCTAACATCACCACTGAATGTGCAACAAAAATGGAGTTTAATTTGATTAGCTCAAACAGCTGCACTAATATTGCCAATTTCTGCACAGATCTGTCAGGAACCAGGTTTAAAGATTCAGAATCAGCCAGACAAGAGTAAAAATGAAAACAGTTTTATTTATTTTGCAGCTGCAGGAAAGAGTCAGGGTGCAGCTGCGGTGACAGGTCCTCACAGGCAGGAGGGAGTGAGAGCCATGACGTCACCTCACTTGGTGAAGCACAGCTTCAAGGCAGAGCTGAGGAGAGTGAGATCTTAGGGGAGATCCGAAGAACCAGATCCAGAAAACATAGGCGGGGGTCATACACGGGGAGGCAGAGGTCCGAGAACAAATCCAGAGGGGAAATCCAAAATCCAGAGAGCAAAGAAGGGTAGTCATTACCAGAGTCAGATGAGCAGAGAGGAATCAGACGAGCGGCAGGCAGAGCAATCAATCCAAGAAGCAGGCGTGAGGTCGAAATCTTAATAACAAGGCGTGATCATCAGGCATGAACTTGAAAACAAGATGGCTGGATATCAAGGACCATGAGAGTTATAATAATCTGGCAGGGACTGAGCAGAGCTTGGGGTTTAAGAAGGTCAGGAAACAAGGGAATGGCACAATAGCTGATTAAGGTGAATGAGCAGAATGGGCGTGGTAATGACAGGAGCAGGGAAACAGAAAATGATGAGTAGAAACACGACAGGAGGGGCTGAGAGCGAGGCAGGGGACAGAGGGTGTGATCATAACAAGATCAGGACGTCAGTAGCATACCGATGATTAGAACTAGCAACACTGGCATCCATTCTTACAGTACAGGTATGTATAGCTGGACAAAACCTGTGTAAAATGATACTTTGGACTTCAGAAAACAACCAGTGCATAAAATGTGAGGTAGAGTATAATAATTTTACAGTATGGATACAACAGTATTTTTTAAATGAAAGATCAAGCAAACAATTACACATTTACATTGAGATTTTTAGTCACCAGCTGCAGAATCGCACTAAGCTTAATTTTACAATCATAAAAAAATCAAAACAAAAAGGTGAAATACCATGAAATGTTATGGAAACAGTGACTAAAGAAATCTTGTACTTACTTGTCCCAGTCTTATGTCATTAGAATCTGAGGGAGTCTGGATTCTACTGTCCACATATGAGGGCAAGCAAGTCTCAACACCAGCTTCTGCACATTTCTCTGTACAAAACAATTAATCAAGACAGAGACTTAATCCAACCCATACAGCATAAAACCTCAACCATGATCATCTTCCATACAGGGGTGGCCACCTCCAAAAACTAAACGATATGAGTCTGAAGTACATACAAAAAATTAATCAAATTCAGCTGTTTGGAGTCGCCATGAGAGAATGCCCCAGCAAGACTAAGGCAGACGTGTAAATTTATGAGTTCAGCCTGACCCAAAATCAATGCTGATATCTGAATCTGGACCTGGCCTTGGAAGGTGGACTATCTCAAATTTCTCCTGGGATCTTATGGAAACAAAGACTCTGTCCCCCCTACCCACCCCCTCCCTTCCCCAAGGTCATGGACCTGTGACAGAGTTCAACTGAGCTGGCTGATAAACAAATACCTCTTATCAGGACTATGGCTGGGGAGTGGGCTCTGGACTGTGCTACCACCTTCCCTAAAACTCAATGCATCCACTGGCCTTCCTCACCTCCCCTGGCACAGCAACCTAGGAGATGCGAAGGCACCAAGGGCTGCATCGCTCACCTGGCGGCCGTGCTGGAACCCCCTACCCACTCCACACGCATATGTACTATGTCTATTTATGTTTCTTTGCTGTGGTAGATTTTTTTTTTATGCCTCAAACCGTGCCCTGTCTAGGACACGACGTGAGAGATCTTTATTTTTATACCGCTCTCATTATGTTTTTCTTCACCTTTTCTTATATAAGCAACAGGGACAGCACATCTCTGAAGCTGCAGCCCCCTGTACACTTTTGTCCATTTTTAGGATGGCTGTACGGAAAGTAAATTTGTTGTACTTCACTGTGCAAGGATAATAAAAGCATTCTGATTCTGAAATAGCGTATAACATAAAAACAAACTTTGGTATAGTGGTAGTCAGTTGTGCTCTTTTCAACTGATTTGTAGGACTTTGTTTTATTTTGTGTAAATAGTTTAGCCCTACAAAAGGCATATAAATGTCATTTTATATATCAGACCTACTGCATTCAAAACATGAAGTGCTGTCAGCATGAGTAAAAAAACAACACCAACAGCCCAATAAATGTTCAACATAAAACAAAAATGTCCTATAACTGTGAATTGAAACAAGAAAGAAGCAAGGATAGAGCAAAACAAAATTTCCAAAGCCAGCAGAGCAGAGGCAAATGTCTGAAGAGCTAATCAAAGCATCAGTGGTGGAAAATGCTGAGTGCAGTGATGAAGATTTCAGATGTGGAAGAACATCAGAGGACGTGCGTGCTTTTCCCCAGCTGTGAGAGCAAGGTGAACTTTGTGTTTTCTGTGTGTGCCCTTGTATATATTGTTCTTGCAAGGACCTAATGTCCTAGCAGGAATGTGTAGATTACATACTTTTACCCCTTTCTTCTTGTTTTTTTAAATACATTGTTTTAGGCTTTACACAGTTATATCTGATTACAACTAATCTCCACTTCAGTTCAGGAAATTTGTAAACCAGCACGTTGAACTATATATTATTATGCTGCTAATTTTTGACATGAGCAAACAAACAAAGAGGTTACCTCTCTTTGTTTAGCATAGTAAATTTAAAGCTTACAAGAATGTCAGTAGGCGTGCACAAATAAACAAAAATAAACCTATTTGGCACCATACTGAATCCAGGTGAAACTTTATAAAATTTGTTAAAAAAAAAAGACAACACCAATGCATTAATTAATATTAATCTGAGTACTTCATTAAAATCTACCCATGACAAACTCATAGAAATGTTAAAAGAAAGATTCTGAATTTTCTATTTTTCAAGGAGACACACTCAAGATAATGAATATCTAAATCATGTCTGTTAATATTTATTCATGCTATTTGCTCTGGAGAAAGGGAACAGATCAGTAACATGCTGAGAAAGGTTTGTGATTTATTACTGACACAGGATTCAGTCTGAGATCTTTCAGAATTTAAGCTCCATCTAAAATGAGCAGCTCTATCTAAACAGTCCAGAGCAGTTTTACCAGGTTGCGGTGATTCTCTGGAGAACTCTGGACTCTGCTGTTTTGGCTGAATTTGTTCAGCATCCATGGAAACAGAGCTTTGCTGGTTGCTGGATGTTGTGTTTTCACTGCATGTCTTCAATCAGAAAAAAAAAAACCAAACAAAAAAAAACAACTTGTTAATTTGATTTTACACATGGTAGATATGAATAGTTACTGAAATGTATAAATACAACTATGCTAAAGCTTTCTATGTTTAATTTTAATCTTTGTTTTTTACATTTTTACCCGTTGAGTGTATTCATTACAAGAGTAGCTTAGAAAATGGGACATTTATTGTAAATCAACAGAAATGTTACTCTGGCATGAAAAACATTGTATTGCTGTAATCAAATTTCTCTCAGAGGACATGACAAATAAAGCAACTCTTGGGGCTTATAGCAATTTCTGACCAAGCGTGAGTTGGCAGCAGCCTGGGACGACATCTGGACATGGCTAGTTTCTGGAATGAGTTGTGTGGAGGTGTCCAGGCTGAAGCGGGTGGCCAGGGCTCCCTTGTTGGTCAAGTTGATAGTCCGTGAAATGCTCTGGCCAACGACGTGCGAACCAAAGTCAATGAATTGGCTGTCAACTTCTGGCTAGAGAACGATATATTTGCAAAATAAAAAAATAAAAAAATCACATGCACTAGTTAGCAATGAGTGAAGCCTTTGTCCATGGTTTTACATACACTGATTTATAAAGAATAAGAGCTTAACAAGACCATTGGTTATTATAAAGTGCAGTATAGGATAAGAAGATGCAGTGTGATTGATTACATTTTAATTTGATAATATTTGCTCCTAAAATTATGCTACACTGTTGGGGGGACCTAAAAACTACATGCATTGGCACATAATGAGAAAAGCTTTGTTTTTGTAACAACTATTACAGAAAAGTATTGAGTAAGATACCTAGTACAATTTTACTTTTGAGATCGGATTGAAATTTTAATGATTTTCTTTTATTGGACCTGTGTATCAAACTTTTTAATAAATCACAAACTTTTTTAAGCTACATGTGTTGAGTGATCCAAATGACTGATGCTTCACATCACATGTATGATTTAAAACAATAATGTGTATACAATAGTCCCTCGCCACTTCGAAGTTCGTTTTTCGTGGACTCGCTCTATCGTGCTTTTTCAAAATAAGATTGGACATGACACACAAGTGGCTGATTGATGGATGAGTTGCACGATCGGCATGTAATTTTTATTTAAAATGAATTATTAAAAATTCTTTAGCACCTGCTGCACAGTATGCAGCCCACACTGCAGGCAAAACTTCCTCCTGCAGCTTCTCCTCGGTGATCCCAAGAGCGCAGAGTGCAGCCACGGCAGAGAGCTGAGTTCATCACATGCTGTACTCTTTTAGAGCGTTTAGAGTATGTGTGTGTATATATATATACATACTGTATATATATATATATATATATATATATATATATATATATATACATACTGTATATATATATATATATGAATACTAAAACTATTACTACATGTACTACTATTCCTACTTTGCAGTTTTTCACTTATCGCGGGGCATCGGGATACAGATCCCCCACAATAAACGAGGGACTACAGTACTGTACTTGTATAATACAGTCATGATAAAGTAAAAATTGACAAATATCAATGTAGTTGTTTAAAGCAATGTGCACAAAGCTTTGTGTTGGTTGTAAAGCACTACTTACAATGCATTTCTTTGTGGTGCATCTGACGGGCACAGAAAAAGGGCCCACTGTTGATGCAAACTGTATCTCTCCTTCCAAGTCCTCGTTGATCTGCAAAGATTGTGTAACGTTACAGAGTGTTGCTGGGAATCCAAAATCAAGGTCCAACATTTGATCAAACTAATATGACTTCATAATAAAAAATGGACATGTTAATGAATTAGAGATTTTTTTTTCTTTCGGCTGCTCCCACTGTCAGAGGTCAACACAGAGAACTAACTCAAACAAAGTCTTGGCAATCGTTTTAACGCCGGATGACCTTCCTGATGCAACAAGCTACCACAGCCCTCTGTGTGGAGCAGAGAGCTGCCATCTAGGGTGTCCAGGGGAGCAAATAGGGGGGTTAAGAGCCTTGCTCAAGGGCTTAGAATGGGGCAAATGAGGGTGGAGGCAGGTGTGGATGCGTCACCTTTTCCAAATACATTTTGATGTCAGGTTGAGGCTCACCTTCTCTAACCTCTGCGCCACCACTTCCTATACCGTGGCTTAGAAAAATAATGTTGATAATTTCTTTAAACATTGTATATCAGTGGTGGTGTGCTAACTGGCATTTTAAATCAATGTAACTAAAGAAATCTGAAAAGGTGTTTTTTATTTTATTTTTAGAAAACCTGCATGTGACAATCAAGCTAAAGACAAATACAGTAATTATTTCATTTACTTTTATGTATTCACTGAATGCATCAAGAACCGTCTAATATTTGTATGGAAATTTAATTTTACTTTTAAAACCTTTAGCTTCAAAATTTTAACTTTTTAGACTCAACATTAAAAGTGTTGAGCTGATGAAAAACAACAGGATTTAAATGATAAAGACCTGATATCTTATCAGTTCTGACATGTTGAGGGTGTCTCAGAGCTTAATATTATAGCTGACCTGTAGATTTCTACAAGAAAAAAAAAGTACTCACTATTGGTTGGAAAACAGCCTGCACATCAAAGGACATCCCAGTAGATAAGGGACCAGGAGGCTCGAAGCTGAAACACAAATTACAATGAATAATAAACCTTAATTTTTCTTTGCATACAGTTTTCATTGGAAGCAACATTACTAAATTAAATATGAACTAAATGCAGCTCATAAATATGAGGAAAAAAGATGTACAGTATGGTGTAATTTCAGATTGACAATACGATATAACAGCATTGAAAGCATGGTTATATGTTACAGTACTTGTTTAGGTATGAATACAACATAAAACAAGACAAAATGAAAGTGCAAAATATATTTGGTGTCAGAGCAATGGTTACAGCCCACAATACTTCCTATACGATTTTAATGAGATCAGCAGCTTTAGATAAAATACTAAGCTATAAGGGCTTTACTGAGAATGAAGCAGATAATAGATAGAGCTACGGTCAATTGCAAACAGCAAGCACTGATAAGAAAATACAGGTCCTTCTCAAAAAATTAGCATATTGTGATAAAGGTAATTATTTTCCATAATGTAATGATAAAAATAAAACTTTCATATATTTCAGATTCATTGCACACCAACTGAAATATTTCAGGTCTTTAATTGTTTTAATACTGATGATTATGGCATACAGCTCATGAAAACCCAAAATGCCTGTCCCAAAAAATTAGCATATTTCCTCCCACCAATGAAAGACAAGTGTTTTTAATACAAAAAACACCAACCTTCAAATAATCATGTTCAGTTATGCACTCAATACTTGGTCGGGAATCCTTTTGCATGAATGACTGCTTCAATGCAGCGTGGCATGGAGGCAATCAGCCTGTGGCACTGCTGAGGTGTTATGGAGGCCCAGGATGCTTCGATAGCGGCCTTAAGCTCATCCAGAGTGTTGGGTCTTGCGTCTCTCAACTTTCTCTTCACAATATCCCACAGGTTCTCTATGGGGTTCAGGTCAGGAGAGTTAGCAGGCCAATTGAGCAAAGTAATATCATGGTCAGTAAACCATTTACCAGTGGTTTTGGCACTGTGAGCAGGTGCCAGGTCGTGCTGGAAAATGAAATCTTCATCTCCATAAAGCTTTTCAGCAGATGGAAGCATGAAGTGCTCCAAAATCTCCTGATAGCTAGCTGCATTGACCCTGTGCTTGATAAAACACAGTGGACCAACACCAGCAGATGACATGACACCCCAGTGACTGTGGAAACTTGACACTGGACCTCAAGCAATGTGAATTCTGTGTCTCCTCTCTTCCTCCAGACTCTGGGACCTTGATTTCTAATGGAAATGCAAAATTTACTGTAATCAGAGAACATAACTTTGGACCACTCAGCAGCAGTCCCAGGCGAGATGCTTCTGACGCTGTCTCTTGTTCAAAAGTGGCTTGACCTGGGGAATGCAGCACCTGTAGCCCATTTCCTGCACACGCCTGTGCATGGTGGCTCTGGATGTTTCTACTCCAGACTCAGTCCACTGCTTCCGCAGGTCCCCCAAGGTCTGGAATCGGCCCTTCTCCACAATCCTCCTCAGGGTCCGGTCACCTCTTCTCGTTGTGCAGCATTTTCTGCCACACTTTTCCCTTCCCACAGACTTCCCACTGAGGTGCCTTGATACAGCACTCTGGGAACAGCCTATTCGTTCAGCAATTTCTTTCTGAGTCTTACCCTCTTGCTTGAGGGTGTCAATGATGGCCTTCTGGACAGCAGTCAGGTCGGCAGTCTTACCCATGATTGCGGTTTTGAGTAATGAACAAGGCTGGGAGTTTTTAAAAGCCTCAGGAATCTTTTGCAGGTGTTTAGAGTTACGTCGTTGATTCAGGTGGTTAGGTTAATAGTTGTTTAGAGAACCTTTTCATGATATGCTAATTTTTTGGACAGGCATTTTGGGTTTTCATGAGCTGTATGCCATAATCATCAGGATTAAAACAATTAAAGACCTGAAATATTTCAGTTGGTGTGCAATGAATCTGAAATATATGAAAGTTTCATTTTTATCATTATATTATGGAAAATAATGACCTTTATCACAATATGCTAATTTTTTGAGAAGGACCTGTAAATAGCACTACATGAATCCCAGTCTCAAAAAACAAAATGGGAGGAATTTATTGAACACATGTTACTCAAACTTAATATAAACCATTCATAAAAGCACAAATCTAATTCCAGACTGTGAAAATGACGGAGGACAGTAAGATGCATAAAATCAAAATGTTTATTTTAAAGTTATTGCTGCCCTGAGTTTGATAACTTATTGCTCTTCTGGAGACACAGGAGAGTCAATCAATATTAATATAGCAAAACGCCAGCCAAAGAAGTAAAGAAAATTCTCAAAATTCAATAGATAAACTGGGATACGCGGCTATGAATTCTTACTACTTGAGTTAAAAGCCTGAGAGATACCCTTAGGCTAATACAAAGATAAATCTAAGTACAATCACATTGTTATTTTGCTGTATGAATTGTGAAAAAGGTTTTTTTTACGTTTTTGTGAGAAAAGAAAAAAGCTGTCGCCTACATCTAAAAGTGGAAAAGACAAATATGTTTTCTTCTTTGCTCTTGCATTCCAGTTCAAGGTTCTTTATTGTCATGCATCACATGTGGTTCATGAGGTGGAACGAAAGTGTGTACACAGGGTCACAGTTACACCCAAAAAAAAAAAAAAAAAAAAAAAAATTTAAATAAATAAATAGGTTTTATTTGATGTATTATTTTTTTTTTTACCACAAAATACCGGAGCTCAATCATCAATTCAAGTAAAAAGCTTGATGACCTGGGGAAGCACAATGTAATAAATACTAGTCAGTTCAGACTGCCATCAGCACAGGGTTGGAAGTGGGAGATCACAGCAGGTTCATTTTAAGCTGTTTTTTTTTTTTTTTTTTTTTTTT